TTGTGAATAAAGGTTTTAAATCAAATGCTGAATAAAGAACAAGATTTCCATATTCTTGTAATCTTAATGTACAATCAAAACTCATTCCATAAGTTTTAGTATCCCATAAAACTATATCTTTATAATAAAAAACAGTATTACAATCATTTTGTACTAAAAGTATATATGCTTTATAAATATGTGTTAAAAACTTACCAGCATAAAGTGTGGCTATATAAAAACCTTTATATCCACTAAATAACCTATTTTTTAAGAAGTTACAAAATTTATATTGAGGAGTAAACAAATAATTATTACCATGAGAAGTTAATCTTGATTGATATCCACGTATTTGATATAATATTGCAAAAATACCAATATCATGTTGGACAATAATACTTATAAAATATGATGCTCTTGCATGAGTGACAGAAGAATAAACTTGTCTAGTAACTTCCAATAATAAATGTCCAACATCATCATTATTAATTTGACGAATACCATTATTGTTTAATGGGCAATTTATACTAGTAGACACTATAACAAATAACATATCTATTGTTAATATTTCATTATCAGAAATCCTCGTAAAATAAGGTGCATGAAATATAGAACCTTGTGGTGTAGTTCCACCTGGAGGCAATGCTCTACTTAAAAAAATTATAAAAGCAAAAAATATATTATTCATATCTATTTCTGGAATTTTTCCATTATCTCCATAATCATCAAAATGAAATCCCTTTTGAGCATAAGTTACAGAAAAATATGAATAAAATATAATTATTAAATTTAAATACTTCATAGGAAAAACTTGAGTAAATATTTTTATTATGGGTCTAATATTTATAAATACAGTTTCTTTTATATTCTTAGTACTTTTATTTAATTTTTATTACTTAAAGTGAAATTGATTTGAAATAATTTTTAAAGATGACAAAATAAAATTCAAAAGATAAAAGAGAAAAGAACTTTGAATAAAAAGTCATATCATCAACAATCAAGGCCTTTAATTTGTTTCGACTTCTAACATTAGTTTCTTCCCTTTATCAGCATTGAAAGCAAGCTTCTAACTCACCATCCTCACACTAATAGGTAGTTGAAGCATAGTAATATAATATCTTAAATCAAACAAGATGATTGGGTTGATTTTATTCTATTTGGTTATTATAGTAGATCTCATATAGGTTTGTAGCTTTATATAGCTTGTACTGAGAAGTAGTGGAAATAATTGAACTGTGACTTGATCCATGTAGCAGCTGATATGGACTGGATCAGATGAGGTGGCAAATTCAAGGAACCTTCCAAATTTGCAACAAGGCCTAGAGGTGGCAGGTGCAAGCAACAACAACACAAAGATATGGAGGATGTAGACATCTTGACATGCCGAGAAGCTCAAACTTGGGCGACAAGTAGTTGAGTATAGAGTGAGGCAAGGTGGGCCTCACTCCTTGGAAAATTGAAACCCTTTGGTTTTAGGAAACAAATGTGTTCTTTTTTAAAGAGTTTTTCTAGTGAAAATCTTTGTGTAGCTTGCAAACAGACATAATGCAGCAATGTTCCTAAGCTTTTTTATTGCTATCTAAGTTTATTGAAAAGATCTAAAGTGTTTAGTGAGGAGCATAGAGCTTAGCAAGGCTATGTAGAACTGTTGGGACCTTAGGAGTTTTATAAACGGTTGTGGAGACACAGTGTTTCTGAGCATCGGGGAGTTAATGAAAGACATCTTCAACAGGTTGGAATGGCAAGTAAGAGTTCATAGAATATAGAGAATCTCTCCACCTTTATGGGTGAGTTTGGGTGGTCTGATCTCAGTGTGGATCAGGAATGGTAGATATTGCTAAGGGTGCTAGAGAGGGGAAAGGGCAGGTAGAGCACTAGCAGCTAGAGTGTTAAGAGAGCCAAAGAGTTAATGGGGTTGCTATATAAAGCATTAGTGGGCAGCAATCTTGCTATAAGAGGAAAGCTAGAGTTTGCAAGTAATCTCCTAGCTCGGGATCTAAGTCGATCAAACTCGTCCCTAAGAGTGGTTAAGAATGAACCAGATGAGCTTGGAGAGTCACTGGCCAAGAGGAGGAAGACCCACTATGCAACACTTTTCAAAAGATTCTAAAGAATCTGGAATAAATCACTTGGCCTCTTCAAATAAGACACGAGATAGTTGGATGTCAGGCTCTAATGCTCCAATAATAAGGGTGTGGGGAACAGTCCAACATAATGTTTGATCTATATATCACAGTAGAATAGGAGCCATATATATCATCAATTGGCTATTCCTCATGAACTCTTCCCTGAGGGCAGAGGTAGTTTTTGAAGGCCGGAGAGGCACACACTTGAGCGGATATAAATAAAGAAGAACGTGCTAGAGAGGCTCTAATGTATCTTAAGATGGCACAACAGAGGCATAACTATAAGTGGCTTATCCAAGGGTAAAAGAGGCTTTTAGTAGTTAGGCGAATTCTTTTTCTGGCTTGGGGGCGAATCTTGGGGTTGTTGAAAGGAGTCTACGGCATTTACATAAGGACGTAATCTTGGATGAGGATGGGGCTCATCGTCTTCCTTCAAAGGCAAAAGGCCAAGGAAGAATGCCACTTAGCATATTGCCAGAAGATCTTGAAAGTCGTGAAGAATGGTGCCATCTATGAAATTTGAAGTGATGGTGTATTTTCAAATGTTGAAGGGCAACCCATGGGATCTCCACCCCCTAGTAGTGAAGAGCCTAGATATAGGCCTTTTTGCAGCAAGATTCCTCAAAGAGGAAATTTAAGCATGAAATAAGCATTAAGTGGTGGTCAGAGTTGGAATTAGCAGACAGTTATGGTCAAAGTTTTGCATTTGTGTTTTAAGATCATGCTCACACCATATTTTAAGTAATGTCCTAGACCGTATGGCTTTGACATGTTCTCTTGTTTGGAATTATGTCACATCACACAGGTAATCATGTTCTACAGGAATGTCATGTATTTTTTTCCCTTCTACAGTATTATACGAGTATATATATACACACACACACAAAATAGACTTTAAATATTCTAGTTGGACAAAAATCCATGAATTAGTAATGTTGCTCATAACAAGAGATTCCTAGAGCATTCAGAATCTTTGCAAGAGCAAACACTTCTTTGATAGTTCCCTTGGAGGAAGAGTTGCACCACTTGGGGTTTTTTCCTGCTTAGCAATAAAGCAAGTGAGTTATTTAGCTTGAGGTGAGAAAAGACAAAAATGGGTTTTATTTCGTGGCTAATGGTAGAAATGTGGCACTTTTAGAACTTAGGAGGAATGCTCACTCATGTTCACAAGCTAAAAAATGCATGGTAAGTTCTTCTTTCTCTTTCTTGTGTGCGAATGTAATACTTAATAAATTTAAGGGTAAAGGTCGGTGGTGATTTGTGATTAAAAAAATATTATAGACAACATTCTATACAACATTTTATTTTATTAAAATATATTTTAGACAACATTTTAAAGGAAAATGATATAGCATGGCTCCTCAAAGAGCTCCACAAATATAAAATAGAGCTTGAGAAGGAGAACATATTGTAATAGAAAAAGAGGGCTTGAGGAACAGCCTATGCTTGAATTATTAGCTATATGAATATTATTATAACCCTTTTGGACTAAAAATTTTGTTCAAGCTTTTACAAAGCCCACTGCTTCTTCTCTTCCTCAAGTTCTTTTTTATATTTGTGAAGCCCACGCTGGACAAGAATCAACTCAGCCGTTGGACCTGTAATAATAACAAAATACTAGTCAGAAATCAAAACTTTGATAGAGAGGGCAAGGGAGTAGCGCCTGAGTGGCAACTGCTACTTGTAGCTGTGCATCCATTCTGAAAGGGAAAGTGAAAGTCAGTTTTAAAGGAGTAACAAAAATAAAAATAAAAAAAAACCGCACAAACCGGGTAAGTAAAATATTTGTCTTTTGCTTTAGCTCCCTCAGCTAATGAATCTGTTCCTTGGCTTCACAATCATCCTTCGGTGTTGTTACTGCTATTGCAGTGATAGTGTCTCTTGACTGAGCATCCCTTGATCTAGATGTCAATGGGATCTGCTTTGGAGACTTGATTTCCTTCACTTTGAAGTAACCTGCATATTAATATCATAATGTTGCTCGTGAAAATTGCAGCATGTACCTGGCTTCCAATGTCCACTTTATTGACAGCAATAGAAGGACCAGGATCCAAAGTACCTCGTTTGAGCGATGCTGGAACCGTCACAATCTCTAGCTTTTCAAAACTGGGTACAGCGATTCCACCTTATTGATCATGACAACGGTGTCATTGTCTGCGTTCTGGTCTGGAAATCTGCAGGCATGCACTCGATCTTTGGCTTCTTATTATGCTGATTCCCGCTGCCTCCACTCCTGCCGGCTCCTCTTTTCCTAAACTCGCGGGCATTACCTACTCTCCGGCTGGGACCGGCATTTCGCTCTTCCATCCCCATGCGATCCCCACCGCGCATAGAACAGACTACGAAAACGCAAAATGTTATAGACTACGAGGATTCAAAATGCCGCTACTATCAAGTTTTCTTCAAATTTGGAATTCGTTATAACGATAACACAATGTATCCTTCATATAAAGTTTGGGTTTAGGGTTCCAAGATTTTTTTTTCACCTGCGCAAAATCCCCCCTTCCTACATCTATAGCTTCTTCAATCTCAAAAGTTGACCCATCGGTGGCGCTGAGTTTCTGAGCTGGCTGTTAGGATAGTTGCCTAAGTCAAGAGTGTAATCAAATCCTAACAAATTTTCCGAGAACTATCACAACTCCCACACAAACAAGAAGAGCTAAAACGAATAACACCTTACTGTAGAAACTATGAGTAACCTACCATTGAGAATCCAATTTATATACATATACAAATCAACTATGTCACGGCACAATCCTTGATGAAATTTAATTTTATAAACGACAAAAAGAAGAATGAAATGCAAATGAGACTCGAAAACTGGGATTGACAATGAGAGATTGACAACCAGGTAGATCTTGAAATATGGGAGATTTACAAACGAGTAAAAGGTACGAATCATAGCGATACATTAAGTTGACGGGCAATTGGGGTGCGAGAGGTCCCGAGTTCAATTCTTGGAATGCCCCCGAGAGCAGGCTATGAAAGTTGAATGGAGAGAAAGTTTTCTACGCATTGCAATTGCGTTTGCTTCTTGCAGTTGGAAGCGTCTCACGTTCTGTGCAAGTTTCTTAGTTCTCTCAAAAACAAATGCAGCAAATCGAGGTAAATGGTAAACTGGGGAATCTGGTGGAAGCAAGGCGGATCTTTGATGGCCTGGCACGAAAGGACTGCTTCAGCTGGTCGATGCTTCTCTGTGCCTACTCCAGAAACGGCCGTCTGACCGAAGCCAAGATGGTGTTTGACGCGATGCCCGAGAGAGATCAAGCATGCTGGAACGCAATGGTTTCTGCATATGCCCGCAATGGGCATTTACAGGAGGCCGAAGATCTCTTTTTCCAAATGCCTAGAACTAACATTGTGTCCTGGAATATGATGCTTACTACCTACGCACAGCGGTTTTTGATGAGAAAAGCACAAAATTTGTTTGATAGAATGCCGATGAGGGATGGTGTCTCTTGGAGCACCATGGTTTCGGCACTTGCCCAAAACGGGCATCTTGAAGATGCACAAGTTCTACTTGATCAGATGCCTTGTCTCGTTCTCGCGGCCGTAAATCCTTTAGTAACAGCGTATGCCGCGCAGGGAAATCTCCGAGAATCTAAGCGGATTTTTGACGACATGCCGATGCGGAACCTTGTTACTTGGAATGCAATGCTCTCTGCACATGCCCAATCCGGGCATCTCTCTGATGCCGTTCTTGTGTTTGAGAATATGCCGGAGCGTGACATGATAGCATGGAACACTGTGATCGCGTCGTACGCTCAAAATGGACGTCTCAGAGAAGCAACACGTGTTTTCCTTTCTTTAGATTCGAGGAATCTTGTGACATGGAACACGATGCTGACGGCATATGCCCAGAATGGGTATCTGTCACAAGGGGAGCGCGTCTTTGCCGCGATGCCACAAAGGGATCTGGTATCTTGGAACTGCATGCTGTCGGCATATTCCCAGGTCGGGAATATTCCAGCTGTGAGAAAAACGTTTGATGAGATGCCCGTGGCAGACATAGTGTCGTGGAACGCTCTGATTGCAGCCTATATTGGGGTAGGGAATCTCGAGCAAGTGAGGGTGATATTCGACGCCATGCCCGAGAGGGACATCGTCGCCTACACTGCTCTCGTCTGCGCGCTAGCCCAGAGAGGAGATTTGGGAGTAGCAACGCTGCTCATGGACGAGATGCCACAGCAAAGTCTCATTTGCTCCACGGCGATGCTGGTTGCAATTGCCCAGAGCGGTGATCTTTCTTCGGCAAAAGCGCGCTTTGATTCATTGCCGGAAAGGGACTTGGTTGTGTGGAACGCAATAGAGTCGGCATATGCCCAAGCCGGGCATATCGAGGCTGCCGTGCACTCGTTTGATTCCATGCCCGTCAAGGACGCCGTGTCGTACAACATCTTACTCTCCGGGTATGCTCAAGCCGGGCATATGGAGGAATCCAAGCGAATCTTTGACACCATGCCTCAGCATATCCTTTCTTCGTGGAACTCCCTCTTAACAGCATATGCCCAAAACGGGTATTTTGCCGAGGCGAAGCATACTTTTGATACCATGCTTTCGAGAAATTCAGTAACGTGGAATGGGATGATCTCGGTTTTATCACAAAATGGTCTTTTGGATCAGGCAAAGAAACTCCTTTACCATTCTCCGCATCGCGATATAATCTCCTGGAGCTCGCTGCTAACCGGCTATGCTCAAAACGGGCATACCACTGAGGCTTTCGAGATCTTCGCAAGCATGGCAATGGAAAGCGTCGAGTTTGACGAAGGGAGCTTCGTTGCTATGTTGGTAGCTTGCATTCACGCCGGAAAAACTTACGCTGGTCGATCGAGCTTCGTCTCCATGAGCTTCGACTTTGGAATGGAGCCGAGAAAGCAGCACTACTGCTGCATGGTGAATCTCCTGGGGCGAGCCGGCTACCTTGACAGCGCTGGAGATCTCATGGAAAACATGCCGTTCGTCCCGAATACTTTCGAGTGGAAGTGCTTCCTGGGAGCTTGCCGGACCCACAGCGATCTCGAGTTTGGAGCTGGAGCGTCGCAAACACTCCTCGATTTGGAACCGTCCGGTGGAGCTGCTTGTGTCTGGCTTGCCACCATTTACTCTTCCTCCTCATCGTCTTCACACTGTAAATTTTTTCCGAATCCTCCTGCCAGTAGCTATAGTTCCACCGTCAAGAACTTAGCAACTCGAGTGTAGTCCTACGATCTTCTGTCCGTCATCCTTCCTAGCTCCATCACTGCTGGTGTACGTAAGCGTTTGCTAGCAGCACGTAAATGCCAGGGTTTCTCATCTCCGACGTGAAAAAGTTCTTGGCCGCTCGGTCGCGAGCGTCCTTGTCCCTGTTCGTCTTGCAAGCTCCGAGCACCGCTCCCATCGCCATGGCATCCGGCTTGAACGGCATCCTCGCGAGCAGATCTTCCGCCACTTTCACCTGTCCCGACCTCCCGGCAGCGTCGATCAAGCAGCAGTAGTGCTCCCTCGACGGAAAGATCTCGTGGTCGCTCGCCATGAGCCGGAAGTACTGGAGACCTTCGTGGAGCAGACCGACATGACTGCAAGCGTTGAAGACGCAGGAGAAGGAGATCGAGTTTGGCTTGATCCCATCCAGTTCCATCCCCCGGAAGATCTCAAACGCCACCTCGCCGTGACCACACCCGGAGAACGCAGCCACCATCGTATTCCACGATATCAAGTCTCGAGCCGGCATCGTCTCGAATGTTTTCATGGCCCGAAGAAGCTGCCCGTTCTGCGCGCTCGCGGCCATCATCACGTTCCACGACACCATGTTTCTCTCCGGGATGGTGTAGAACATCGCCTCTGCGTGCTGGTAATGGAAGTTTTGGACGTAGGCCTCGAGCATGGTTGTCCAGGAGATGACGTCCTGTTCTGGCATTGCAAAGAACAGCCTCTCGGCCCCTTCCAGATCCCAGCACTGAGCATGCACCGCTATCATCTTGTTCCAGCACACCACGTCCCTCTCTGGCATTCGATCAAAGATGCTCTTTGCGGCCTCCAAGTTCCCGTTCTCGGAGTAGCCGTGGATCATCGACGTGAAAGTGAGCAAGTCATACTCCGGCATCCTGTCAAAGAGAACTTTAGCCTCCGAGAGAATGTTACTCTTCACATACCCCTGGACAATCGCGTTCCAAGTCGCGATAGTCCACTGAGGCATGCAGCCAAGCAAAGATCTCGCCTCCTTGAGCTCGTCGTTCTCGATGTAAGCTTGCATCATGGTGTTCCACGAAACAACGTTGCGTTCCGGCATCCTGTCGAAGAGAGCCTTCGCTGCCTCAAGATACCCGTTCTGAGCATAGGCCGCGACGATGGCAGTCCAAGAAACAACGTTGCGAACCGGCATAGTATCAAACAGCACCCTGGCCTCGTCCACAAGCCCGTGCTGGGCATATGCAGTCAGCATAGCAGTCGAGCAAACCACGTCCTGTTCCGGCATAGCATTGGAGATGGACTTGGCTTCCTTGATATACCCATTCTGGGCGTAAGCCGCCACCATCATGCTCCAGGAGAAACGATTCGGCCGCTCGATGGCGTCGAACACCCGGCGAGCATCTTCCAGGCTGCCACACTTTCCATACATCTCGATGAGGAGATTGGCGAGATATCTGTTCCGGCATAGTGTCTCGTCGCTGCGAATCTGTGCAGCAATCCTCTTGCCCTGTGCCAAGTCTCGCAAGTTCCCGCAGGACTTGATAAATGCCGCTAGCCTGTCTGTGTCACTGGCGCTGCGTGTCTCGGGACTTTGATGATTCCGGATCTCTACAACCATTGCCGAGATTTGTGTTATTCTTCAAGAGAGCCAAGAGAGCAAGCTCTTGCCTGTACAAAGAAACGTGCTTGCAAGAATTCATAACTTACATAGAACTAGCCATGCCCTCCCCAGAGCTTAAGCTTTCCGACACTTCACTCCACGCTTTACCGAGTTTTTCCGCGTAACCCACCTTCATGGAAGAGTGTCAGATCTCGAAAAGCATTGAAGAATAGGCTCCGTTTCTTACCTGCGTCTGTACAAATCCTTTCAACATCTCGAATAGATCTGTCTGTCGATTAACTTCGTATCGCTCAATCTCCTCCCAGTTCCGTTCCTGCGAACAAGAGTTAGCTGTATGAACTGTAAAAATGCGTTTTTTTCTTACTTTGATGCGATCGTACTCCTTTCGAGCGGATGCGCAAGCTTCTTCCGAGCTTGCAATGGCCGCTTTTGTCTCCTCTATCTTACGTTTGTCGCCACCAAAAACTCTCAAAGACGCCGCTGTTAACTTCTCATACCGAGCTTGCATTGACGCTATGTCGGATTTAAGAGTTTGGACCGTCAGTAGTGCTTTCGATCGCTCAGCGAAAGCACCGTGAATAGCTTGCATCAAGGCAAGGTATTCGTGAAAGGTAAGCTGGAACGAGAAAGTTTAAAACTTTCGAGCACCGAAACCGAGAGGTACTTACCAAATACTTAATGCACTGCGTGCTGGATTCTGTGTAGCACCTGCTCGCTTTCACAGCGGCATTGCCAACAACAATGGCCGCATCCTCGCACTCGAACCGGCCAAGTCTACTCAAGGACATCCCAAGGTCACCCATGACGGTTCCCATATTCTCTTGAGCCTTCGTAAGCAGCTCTGCCTGGAAAGAACGCCACAATCGAGATTTTCCAGACAAAAGAACCATGAAGAACTTACTTGCTCGGAAGCTAGAACAAGCTCGCGCTCAAACTCCTGGATCTTCTCCTTGTGTTCCACAAACTTCTTATCCTCCTCTACCACCAGCGGCTTGCTGCCACCCCAATCGTTGGCCACATACTGCCGCAGCTCCCTGAAAGTTCTCAAGAGATCCCTGCCACCTTTACCAGGCTCCGCCACCGCGTGACTGTTCCCATTCCCAGTAGCACCACTCTCATCACCATCAAACATCACCGACGAAACATCCGAGGAGACTTGCATTGGATTCCTCCCTGGAGACGAGAGGAACTGCCGCAACTCCACGCTGTTCCTCAGCACTGGATGCGCCGCGAGACGATGGAAGTATCTCTCGAGCTCGTGGACGCGATTGCTCACAAAGTCCTGCGTCTGGACGAGCTGGACGTTCTTGTCCGGCCTGGGAGGGATGAAGTAGCCTTTGTAGATCTCTCCCAGCTGGTCCGCCAGCGCCACCACCTCGCGGAACCTCCTCCGGACGCTAAAGCTCGTGCCAAGAAACTCCGGAAGATCGGTGTAGGTCGTGAAGAGATACGCCACGAAAGTCCCGCCACTGCTGCCGTGATCCTGCGTCTTCTGTGGATCCGAGACGCTAATCCGGAGATAGTTCTTCTCCACTGCCCTCCCGGATTCCTCCGGCTGCCTGGCGGCGTATGGAGCGAACACCACATCGGCGTAGCTCGGAGGCTCGATCAGGAGCTCGGGCCTCCCGGATGGACTCCGAAAGCTCCTGGACGATTCTTTCCGGCGTGTCATCGCCCCATTCTCTGGCGATTCCTGCGAGCTCGATTCGCGGAGGAGCGGTGTCGCCGTGGACGCTGCTTCCAGCGACACGGTCTCCATCTCGTCGTCCATGAGAGGGAAGAGCTGATCCATCATCCTTGTCGCAAGAATCTCGCTAGAGCATCCTTGTAGTGGAATTTCCTAGCTGAGAAGAGAGAGCGCCTCACCTGGATGGAGCAAGAAGAGCTATGGCCAACCCCTAACCCTAGAGAAAAATCCATGAGGCATTTGCCTTTAGTAAAAAAGAAACCATCGCTGCTATTTACAAAGAAGGTCTGGAAGAGATTTTGGGGCAGCGCCGCGCAAGAATGCGACGATGGAGACCTCGATCTGGACGCGATGCCGCTGGAATCCGCCATCGCATCGCTCGAATCGCAGCGCTTCTCTCCCCAATCGCAGGATTTCAAGGCGCTGCTCCGGCGCTGTACGTGGTCGCGCTCGCTGGAGCTCGGCCGGCGCCTCCACCGCCAGATGGAGGAGCTCGGCTGGATCCGCAACAGGTTCCTGTGCAATCTCCTCATCGATCTCTACACCAAGTGCGATCGATTCGACGACGCGCTGGCGGTGTTCCACGGCATCCAGAGCAAGAACGTCTTTAGCTGGACGATGATGCTCGCGGCGTTCGCCGAGAATCGGGATTTCGATCGCTGCTGGCTCTTCTTCCGCGGGATGCTGCTCCAGGGGATCAATCCCGGCGAGGTAGGGATCAGCATCTTCCTCTCGGCGTGCACGGACGCCCGCGAGATTACGATCGGTCGCTCCATCCAGCTCGCGATCCTAGGCACTGGCATCGAGGAGGAGTCGATCGTCCAGACGGCGCTGGTGAGCCTGTACGGCAAGCTTGGCCACTGTACGGATGCGGCCAGCGTGTTCTTGAGGATGAGCCACAGGGACGTGGTGGCTTGGAGCGCCATGGTCGCGGCATATGCCCGGAATGGGCATCCTAGAGAGGCACTGGGTTTGTTTCGCCAGATGGATCTCGATGGAGTGGCTCCAAACAAAGTGACGCTGGTGAGCGGGCTGGATGCCTGTGCGTCGTTGGGCGATTTGAGGAGTGGCGCTTTGATGCATCAGCGAGTAGAAGCACAAGGGATCCAATCCGGAGTGGTGGTCGGGACTGCGCTGGTGAATTTGTATGGGAAGTGTGGCAGGATCGAGGCTGCTGCGGAGGCGTTTGGACAGATTGTTGAGAAGAATGTGGTGGCGTGGTCTGCTATCTCGGCAGCGTATGCCCGCAACGATCGTAACAGGGACGCGATCCGGGTGCTTCACAGGATGGACTTGGAGGGGCTGGCACCAAATTCTACGACGTTTGTGAGCGTCCTGGATGCTTGTGCTGCGATCGCGGCTCTAAAGCAAGGAAGAAGGATTCACGAGAGGATACATGTGCTGGGAGGCGGATTGGAATCGGATGTTTACGTTCTTACTGCGCTCGTCAACATGTATAGCAAGTGTGGGAACTTGGCTCTAGCGGGGAACATGTTTGACAAGATCGCTCACTTGGATCTCGTGCTGTGGAACTCGCTCATCGCGACGAATGCCCAGCACGGGCAAACCGAGAAGGCACTGGAGCTGTTTGAGAGAATGCGGCTAGAGGGCCTCCAGCCGACAATCATCACTTTCACGAGCGTGCTCTTCGCTTGCAGCCACGCCGGAATGCTAGATCAAGGCAGGAAGCACTTCGTTTCCTTCATTGGCGACCACGGGATTTTTCCCGAAGCCGAGCACTTTGGCTGCATGGTGGATCTTCTCGGTCGAGCAGGCTGGATCGTAGACTCGGAGGATCTGCTGCTCCATATGCCGTTTGAGCCACATCCCGTGGCATGGATGGCGTTCTTGGGAGCTTGCAGAACTTACCGGAATATGGACGGAGCAATCTGGGCTGCCGAGAACTTGTTTCAGCTGGATCCAAGGAAACGAGCTCCGTACGTGCTTCTCTCCAACATGTACGCGAAGGCTGGAAGATGGTCCGACGTTGCAAGGATGAGGCAAGCAATGCAGCTCTTCATGACCGTGAAAGAAGCAGGGAGGAGCTGGATCGAAGTGAAAGACCGGGTGCACGAGTTTATCTCGGGGGACTTGGATCATCCTCGGATAGGCGAGATACACGCCGAGCTCCAGCGACTGACAAAGCTGATGAAAGCGGCCGGTTACGTCCCCGACACCGAGATGGTCCTCCACGACGTGAAACAGGAGGTGAAAGAGACCATGGTCGGGTATCACAGCGAGAAGCTGGCGATGGCGTTTGCTCTCCTCACCACCCCTGAAGGCTCACCGATTCGCGTGGTGAAAAACCTGCGAGTGTGCAACGACTGCCACACTGCCTCGAAGTTCATCTCCAAGCTTGTCAACCGGGAGATCGTGGTGAGGGACTGCAACAGGTTTCATAGGTTCCAGAATGGAGCGTGTTCTTGCGGAGACTACTGGTGATCAACCGGAGAGCTATCACAGCTTAGGACATTGGAGAGCAAGGAATACGTTGCCGGCCTCCGAGAGCTCAGCTGGAGCAGTATCTCCGCGACTCGGCTGCCTCTTTCGGCATCTCCGTGGTGCCGGCAAGCGCTGAGAAGCGTGGTCCAGGTGACCGAGCTCGGAGGAACCGGCATAGAGCGGACGAGCTCCTCGGCTTCCTCGAGTCTTTTCAAGCGCCCAAGAACATCGACCATGCAGTTGTAGTGATCAACGAGGGGGGTGATGCCGTGAGCTCGGATCATCGCAGAGAAGATCTCCTGGCCTTGGCCGATTCGTCCTTCGTGGCTGCAACCGTGGAGCAGGGCAGTGAAGGTGGTCTCGATTGGAGCGACTCCCTCAAGGAGCATCTCTTGGAAGAAGTTCATGGCCTCTAGCAGGGCTCCCCTGTGGGAGAAGGCGGCGATGACAGCGTTCCAGGAGAGGACGTTCTTCTCGGGGATGGAATCGAAGACGAGCTTGGATTCGTGGAGGTGGCCTTGCTTGGCGTGTCCGGAGATTATCACGGTCTCCAGGCAGAGGTTCTTTGCTGGAAGCAAAGAGATCAAATGCCAAGCTTGGTGGAAGTCTTTAGCGAGGAAGTAGCCTTCGATCATCGTCGCCCAAGACGCCGCGCTCTTGTGCGGCATTGTCTCGTACAAAGATCTAGCATACTCCAAATGCCCGGACATGGCATTTACTGAAAGAACTGCATTGGTAGAGCTGATGTTCCAAGCCGGCGTTTTTTGGTAGATTTTAGACGCGATCTCTACGTTTTGTGTGCGTGCGTAGGATGATACTAGACAAGCCCAGGCCACGACGTCCTTGGTCGGCATCAAAAGAAACAGAGATTCTACTGCGTCGGTATGCCCATGAAGGGCATATGCTTGTAAGATTGCAGTCCAGCAGGGTATATCTTTCTCGGGGATTCTTTCAAACAGTAACTTTGCTCTTTCCAACAAACATGATTCTCCATACAACTTGATCATTGCAGTCGAAGCACCCAAGGACCAAAGCGGCATCTTGTTAAAGACTTGTATGCATATATCAAAATGCCCGATGTTGGCATACGTTGTTAGTAGAGTGTTCCATGTAATAGAGTTTCTTTCCGGCATAGAAGAGAAACATTCGTAGAACCTATCTGATTGAGAAGAAGAAGACAAGAGAAGAAAAATAGTGTTCCACGACACAACTGACCATTGTGGCATCAAATCAAACGCAAGCTTGGCACTGGGCAAATTCCCAGTGGAGGCAAACGTCTGGATGACGAGATTCCAGGACAAATCGCTGCGCTGAAACATCCCCTCAAAGAGGGCGATGGCATCCCTCGCATTTCCAGCCTTGGACAAAGCCGCGATCATCGTGTTCCACGACACAGTGTCATGTTGAGGCATCCGGTGGAAAACCTCCCAAGATCCCTCCAAAAGCTGATCTCTTTGAGCACACGCGTGGATCATCATGTTCCACACGGCAACATTGCGCTGCGGCACTCGATCGAAAGCCTCCTCCGCCTCGCCGATCCGCCCGCTCCTCGCGTGGAATTTAAACAAGAACTCCCGCTGCGAGGATATTCTTATCCGGAAGGGCATATTCCGGATTTTGCTTGCTTGGCATCCCGCCAGAAGAAAAGAAAAAGCTTTCTCGTGGCTATGGCGTGCTTGGCATGCGCCGCGGCTGCTTCGTCCACCGCGAATCCCCCTCACATCCAATCGTCACGGCGAGGTAGGCCAAGCAATGCAGCTCAATCCAGATGCAGCGCTGCAATTCCACCAGCCAAATCCTCTCGCCGAGGATTTGGGCTCGCGACGGCGCTCTCGATCCTAGCCGGTGGCTCCTTCCTCCGCGCGGAGACGGCGGTGGCGAGAGACATCCCCCTGTTTGGAATCCGGAAGACCGTCAAGGAGGCCATCCAGGAGGAAGTCCAGGTAGTGGAGAAGGAGGTGAAAGAGATTGTCAAGGAGAGCTCCGCGGTGGTGGCTAACGAGGCCAAAGTGGTGGCCGGCGAAGCCAAGGTGGTGGCCGAGGAAGCCAAGGCGGCGCTCGCGGCCTCGGCCTCGAGCATGGATTCCTCCTCGATTTTCGCTCCGCCAGTCCAGGCGGGGGCGGTGGTGGCGGCGGAGCTACTGGCACTCGCGATTGCTTCGTCGGTGGTCAGGGGATTGGTCAGCCAGCCATCAAAGTGAGTAGATGCGCAAGAACAAAGTAAAGATCATACCTCTGTGATATAAGAAAACTTTTGTCTACAAACTATAGTCCTTGCTTCATCAAAGTGAGTGAACAAAGAAGAGATCATACCTCTGTGATATAAGAAAACTTTTGTCTACAAACTATAGTCCTTGCTTCATCAAAGTGAGTGAACAAAGTAAAAGATCGTACCTCTGTGATATAAGAAGACTTTTGTCTACAAACTACTTGCTTCATCAAAGTGAGTAGAAGCGCAAGAACAGAGTAAAGATCATACCTCTGTGATATAAGAATAATTTTGCCTATAAACTATAGTCCTTGCTTCGAGAAAAAAATCGTTTGTTTTCCCTGGAATTTTTGTTCTTGAGAGTTGTCACTGGCCCTGTTTGTTCTTTTTCAAGGCCACTGTCCGTTGCTCTGGCGTGTGAGCAGTCCCTTTTCCACGGTTCTTTCGAAGTCCCAGTGCAGATCCTTGCTCTTGAGTCCCCAGTAAGACCACCCTAGCGATGCGTTTCCAAACACTTTGAGCTGTGCCGCTCCAAAGTTTCGGTAGTCCGACATGGTGGCTCCTTGCACATCCCACTCGTTGGTCCATTCCCCTGCAAGGCAATGGTTTTCGATCGATCCATGAATCACTGACGGACGAACTCCAAGAGCTTACCAACGAGTATGAGAGGCCCGTTTGCGTTGTTGAGCTTTTGGAGATCGGAGTTCCTCTGGTTGAGGATATAGTCGATGTTCCACTGCGCCGTAGTGTTCACGAATCTGTTCTCGAAGAGGTTGTACCAGTGGACGTCCAAGGCGACGTTGGTGTAGCCGTCGCTGGGTGCCATGAAATCCACCAGTATGCTCGGGTTTGCGCCGATCAGCTGGCAGATGATCACGAAGCAGCTTGAGCTGTATTTTCTGACCCTGCTGTAGCCCGCAACGTAGTAATTGCGGAGGACGTCGAGTGGTACGTGCTGCTGAGTTGGCTCGTTGAGAAGCTCGATGCCAAAAAATGCGGAATGGCTTGCGTATCTACAAAGGTTGAAGAACACGGAGAGAAAGGCAAAAAGTGAATGAAAGAAGAGAGCGAGGGACTCGCATGCATACCTGGAGGTCAGAAATTCAATAACTGAAAGTGTATCGGAGATGTAGCTGGTGTTGGCTTTGGCCCACTCTGAAACGCCGTCCCGAGTTCCACAGTGTTGCCACTGGCTTTGAGATCCCGGGGCCGCGTGGAGATCCACTAGGACGCTGATGCCGGTGTTCCTGGACGAAAGACGTATCAACCTTAAGCAATTTAGAGATCGCGTACGTACTCTGCCCAGGTGAATGCGTTGTCCAGTGCCTCGAGCGAGCCGGAAACGAATGGGAATGGAGGCTCTGGGTCGTATGCAATCCACCAGCCAATCGGAATTCTAACGTTGTTGATTGCGTTTGCAGCCAAGAACTTGAAGTCGTCTTGAGTGATGAAGCTCTCTCGGTGTTTCTAAGACACCAAGACTTCAGAAGCTCCAATCACAAAGCCTCGACTCACAAACCTTGAACACGGTTTGTGCGTCTTCTTTGTCGTACCCATTCGCGAGCTGGAACTCTCCACCAAGAACAGTATTGACAGTCATATTAAAGACTGCTGGATTGTCACTGCTCCATCCCAGAGTCCCATTGTAATCGGCAGTCAGTCGAGAGCTCTCATTTGCCTGTGGAATGGATCACATTGAGCTTGAGCTTTTCATACGATCGCAGTTCACTACCTGGAGGTACATTCCATTGGGGGCTCGAAGCATCACCAGGCCACCGTTTCGACTAATCTCAAACGTTTCAGACTGTCCGGGAGAGTCCACGGTGGCGGAGACACTCGAATCCGGTGCTGAGATAAACTGGTTATTGGACACCCGAAACTGGAACAATGTACTGGAAACACGCCATAGCTGTAAGAAAAGGAGTATTGTCAGACAGCAGCACCGAGAGTTCCATCTTTACCTTGAATGTTTGCCAGTCCGACGCCGAGGTGCCGTTGGCAGTGACGTCCGAGCCACCTCCATTGGCAGCCGTCACATAAGTCCCCAGAACCAGTGACTTGAATGTAACAAGAGTTCCATCCTGGACGAGACAAGACAAGGCAACACAAAACAACTAGAGGACAAGGAAACAAAAACTAGATTACTAAGAGGTCCGGCTCCACGATTCCATCAAACAGCGACGGCTTGATCCATTTCTCAATCACCAGCCAGCCTCCCAAGCTCACGGAGCGCACCCGAGCTGTCACAATAGAGGGAAAGCGAGTCACGCGAAAGAAATAAAAATAAAGAAGAGGAGAACGAAACATACTCGCATTGTTCGTCGTTGCAGAAGTAGAGACGGCAGAGAACAAGGCGATGGCGAGGAGGAAGCAAGGTCTGGGCATGACTCCGACTCGTCATCGGCCGCCTCCTCTCGGAGGATTTATTGCGCCACTTTGCTGAGTAGTCTGTCAAGCACAGGCACGCAATCCCAGGGGCCGTGTCCCGTGCACACCACCCACAAAAATAGTGTGAGCTGCATGCTGCCTCTATGTTTCATCAATGCCAGCTGAGAAAAATTCGCCTCCGGTTAGATAGATTATACACTGTTAAGCAAAATGGAAACCTTCCAAAAAGCTGCGATTACAAGCCAAAACGTTTGTCCGAATCACTATCTACTTAGTAGTTACGTATCTGATGTCCGCTTGCTCCAGTAGCCAATCCAAGACTTTGGCACCCTCAAGCATCTCTTGCGCCTAGAACACAAGATTTTCTTGTCTAAAACTGATTGAGAGCGATGGCGTGAAACGTACCTGTTCTCTCACTTTCTTTTCGTCGTATTCTTGGTTGTAGATCTTGAACTCGTCAATAGCCGACTTTACCTCCGCTTCTAGCTCATCCCTCGTGTACTGTTACGCACAACACTTCAGTAAAGTAAAAGAACGTGCCGATGAAACAAACCTGAAGCTTTTCAAGCCTGAAAATCTCTGCCACGGCGATGGATTGCCTCACTGTAGCCGATATCTCATCGTGCTTGACACGAATAAAGTTGTTCACCATTTCTTCGCTAGTAAGCGGCTCCATTTGCTTCTTGTCAAACCGTTGTTTGATCTGGATTGGCATGTCAAAGTCGAATATTTGGACAGTGATCAATCTTACGTGCAACTCCATAAGCTTGGCGGCATATATTTGTCGGCCCTGCTCCTCTAGTAAGGATTTTGGAACTTGAATCTTTGCTACCTGCACATAGATACATGGAATTAAGCGCAAGATCAAGATGTTACTTGACCTTGGAAAGTTTTTCAAGTACTGCTCCCCTGGCTGCATTCTTTCTGTTATTTTCCTCAATGAGCTGATGCTTTTTGAGCAATGCTTGCTTCACCTGATTGACAAGAGATACCAAGGAAATCTCAAGCGAAGAAATTGCATCCTACCTGCTCTAATGTCTTGCATCCTTCAACAAGCTTTTCCGCAATTTCGTCATTTAGATCAGGTACTACCCTCAGGAAGACTTCTTTGCATTCCACCTAACCAAAAACCGCAGTGAGGATGTCACTTAAAGCAGTAGCAAGACTTACAGTGAATCGCGCTTTGATGTTACGAAGGTGCTCCTGATTCCAGTCTGGAGGAAAAACAAGATCAAAAGTGCGAGTTTCGCCACCTTTCTGGCCCATCATGTTTTGAACAAGCCCTGGTATATAAGAAGTGCTCTCCTCCGTGTCCAAACTAAATCCTGAAGAGGTATTTTCAATCAACCGGAGTATACCAGGGCAACGCGTACCTTTCTGTGTGCATGATAGAATCTTGTCGCCAATTGTTCCATCACTGTTTATGCGAGCAGCCGAAATATCAATAATAACAACATCGTTCATCTACACAAGGAGCCAAGTCAGAATAAGGAAAACAAAAAGCTAGATATACCTCCAATCCTCGACCAGTTACAACTCTCAAGGATCCCAAATCCTTGTGTCGCGATGCAAGCTCAGCATCGGCAGCATTTTGAACACCAATATCGTCGCGACCTTCAACTTCTAGCACCATATGTTTGTAAGCGTCCTTTGATGTCCACTCCACATCCGGTATAACATCCACTGCAACATGATAACTATCGCTTAAACCGCTTAGGTGGAGTTCTAGAGCAAAAGGAGAAACGACGACCAAAAACATTACCTTAGAGGAGAAGTTGGCGTGAAGGCTGCCAGCAACGAATCGAATTTCGTGACAATCTCTTCTGAATCTTTCAGTGCTCGTCCAGCAACCTTAAAACAGCACGTAAGCTACGGAGAAAAGCAATGGCAAAGCTACTCACGGAAGCCATAGCTTCGGGGAGAGTTTTCTCCAGGATCAACTTCACCGCCTCCGACTCGACACGCTTCTGCCCAATTTGACTGAGCAAAACCCACTCTGGAACTTTTCCAGGACGAAAACCTTTCACCTGACAATCATAACAAAACTCTACTGAAAATGCTGGTTCTAGAGTATCACTATTACACTCACCTTCACTTTCTTGCTAAAATCCAGCAGGGTTTCATCGTAAATTTCTTTGCAGAGATTCCCCGGAACTCTTACTTTCAAGCGAACCTACACAACAAAAAAAATTCCATCTGGAAATCTTGGAGAAACTAATGCTTACCCGAGCATTACCATCGTTCTGCGTCTCCTGGACTTGCAATCCCTTGGGAGTCGTGATTACCTCCGGAGAAGAAGGCTCTGCCGCGGCCGCCGAGGCCATGGCCACAAGAACTCCCCTCCTCCTCTTGCATCGGATTCCAAATCGCAGAAGCCCTGCATTGTGCGTAATCTTTCCATAGCTCACCACCGCCGCTACCACAGATGACGAAGAACACACCGGCGCCTCCGGATTGTGCGCGTAGACGCGAAGAGGCGACACAATCGCGGCCGGCATTGGATGCATTGCTCTAAGCGCCAAACTATCCCCCAAAATATTTCATGACCACAAAGAAAAATCCTCGAACTTTAGGGTTCTTGAGAGAGCCAAGTAATATTCTTTCCATTCGAAAAATACAACGATACAGAGAAAAAATCCATAGCTCGCTATCGGAAGATATAGTCCTTCTCTAGACACGGCTTCGTACGGCTAGCACGGGCATTGGGAGGCCGTGCGTTGTACGATATCAACGTCGTTCCTAGCGACTCACTCTCGCTTGCTTGGATCTCCATTTTAAAAATCCTCGCAGCGTGGTGGATTCTCAGACCGGCCATTCCAACGAAAGCTCCCAAGATCATCACTGTCAGTGCCCCCATTGTTCCCAAGATCCCAGCTTTAATTCTCGACGAGGAACGCCTCCGGCGAGCTTTGCTTTCTCCCATGGACGAAGACGATGACGAGGGCGATGGAGCAGCGTCGCTGGGATGATCCCTCGCGTGCTTTCCCGGCGCGGGGACTGGAGCTTCGATCGAATCCGTCCAGCTCTCGCCGGTGCTGTTCGCGGAGAAGTTCACGAGCGTGGCGTCACCAAGTTGATACATGGAGCAAACGTTCACGTAAGTCATGGGAGTGACGGTGGTGTTCCCGTTTCCATCGAAGAGAGCGCACATCGCCGGATTCACCTTGTTGGAGTCGGAGAGTGGAAAGATTGGAATGCGAACTGTCACGGGGTCTTCCAAAGCCACCACTTCGGCCTCTACAGGCGCTTTCACTCCGGAAGAGCTCTCCTCCATATCCATCCCACTGTAAGCTCGGATTCCCACCACGGGACCGATGATCGAGATCCCGTTCTTCGGACAGTAGGCCGAGAATCTCATGCTGAAAAACCTGTAGACGAGAACCACGTACTCCGGAACCTCTTCCCTGGAATTCACTCTCGTCGTCACCGCAAGCCTTGGAGGGAGGATGAACTCGTTGAAGATGAATCCCCGGTGTTGCAAGCTTCCAGTCTTGAGTCTCACGGCCTGGACGGAGAGGCCCGGTTGGATCCCCATTGGAAGTGGAACGTCGTAGACAGTGCCAGTGTGTGGTCTCAAGAGTGCTCTAAAAGCGTGAACTTGGATCATCCTGTCAACCTTGTGGACCACTTCCTCGGGCATGGCGTTTGGAGCCATGCCGAGGCTCAACTTGAGCTCATTCGAGCACCCTCTTGCCGCTGCTATCCGAGCTAAAGCTGAGAACCAAATCGAGAGCAGCCACCATACCCGGATCCGTGCTGTCTTTCTTGAGAGCTTTCCTGAGGAACTCACCATTTGTTCTTGCTGTTGTTGGTGCTGCTTCTTCTTCGTCCTTGCGTTTTCTGGAGAGTTGTCGTCGTCGTCGTCGTCAACAGACATTGCGGCTTCAAAGCCACCACGGCCAACATCTTGTGGGCTTTGTGCCCTTCTGCGAGAACCTATCCGCCAGTTTGGTGTGAGCTGCAGCATTCGCGCAGTACCAAACTTGTTTTGCATTTACTCGACTTTACCAAAAGCCTGCAGCAAGCTTGATTGAAACCAGCGACATGTGAGATGAATAAATATACCAGAGTATATCCAGCGCTGTTAGATCAGATTGTGGACTTATTCGTTAAGCTCTCTAGCTCTGCAAGAACTTCGTCTTCTGGTCGGTAGATTAAGTCGCTAAGTCGCCAAAGCTACAGGTAAAAGAAATCTTAGACTGTGAAACAACATGGACTTTCTTGTACCTGTAGTGTGCCGCCACCTTTCGCGTCTGTGGACACGGTCGCCAGTAACCATGGCTCCAAAGGATCCCAGTGGAAGTCGACGATTTGGCCCCTGAATGAACCTCCACCTCAAGAAAGGAAAAGCATGCTTTTCTAGATCACCTGTGTCCAATGTGCTTGAAGATCAGTCCTTCCGAATGGTTTGCGTTGGAATCTGAGCTCTTGAAACTTATCTCGATATCACTGATGCTCACCGTGGAGTCCGCTGCAGCACTAGCGAAAGCTGACGCTTTTGCAGGGCACCACTGCAAGAAAAAGAATTTCATTTGCATCTTTCAGATACTTGAGACAAGTACTCTTACTTGCACACCCAAGACTGCACTTTCGTGTGTTTTGAACTTTTTCACTTGACAGCCACTTTCATTCGAATCCAGTTTTCTTAGATCGAAGAGCTTGACAGACGTATCGGCGGACCTACGGAAAGAGTTTCAGGTTAAAGCAGAGTGATGCACGAGGAACTTTTACCCTGTCAAAATGTAATGCTCCTGATGAGCGTTCCAATCTAAGCAATGAATATCATCGTCGTGTGCATCAGTAATCTGCAAGAGCATAGTTTAGCCGGAAAGAAGAAAAAGGAAGAGTTGTAAGTACCTTTTGTGCTGGACTGTTACCCTGTCTCTTGTCCCAAAAAATGATACAGCGGTCATCTCCGACGCTGCAAAACTCATTTGCACTGCATAGAAATGTTTTATCATGAAACAAGATCCAAAGACGATCACCCCATACCTTGATGGTCGAAACTGAACGTCTTCCACAGTTTTAGAATGACCTTTGAAGATACCAGTTGCTGAAACGTGAGTGCTGCTTATCGTGCCTGTTCCACCGCTGTTCATAGTAGGCCTTCCTGGTGTATTAAGTCCAGATACGGCGTCGTTGATGTCCCAAAGCAGAACCTTCCGATCTTGTCCTACGACAAGAAAATAAAAAACGCATTTAGCAGAATGAAAATACCAGTCGAAAGTTAAAACGAGATTAACCTCCAGATAGAACAAACGGTCCACACGAACACAATGCAAGAGCGTACTCCGCGTTTGCGGTATGGCCTGTCAATACCTGGACATACAGCCAAAGAACGAACTTATTGTCTAAAGCATAGGAAAAAAAACCGCAATACCATATCAGGCTTTGAAGGAGAAGCTCCTGGTGCTGGAGATCGATTTGGCTGTGATTCGAGATTCCACACGTACACCTGAATGAAAGTCGTGAGACTCTACGAAGGATTGAATTGATAAACCTCGGGCTTATCAGTGTGCGTGGCCACAACTTTGCTGCTAAGTTGAGGTAAGTCTCGTATTCGGTTCACCTGTGGTAAACAAGCTCAAAACCGATTAAGTTTTTCTTGTTCTTGGTTCCTGACCTCGCCAGGATGGATCACGGTTTTAAGCCGCTTGATGTATGGCGATCGAGCTTCCTCATTAAACTATAAGCACTCTCGTATAAAAGAGGAAGGAAAAACCTTGATGAACCATACCTGGGATAAGCTCTCGTGAGCAGCATATCGTGGTTTTATGATCTCACAGTTGACAACTACAAGCGTGTTTGGGTACTGCCCATAAGTCTGCCGAGAGAGAGCAAGAAGAAAAAAATTTGATCAAAGGAGCAAGAGGAAGAGTAGGAAAGGAATCACTTGCCTGCTCGCTGAAGTAGAGCTGCTGAAGATTTCTAGATGATCCCTGCTCCACCGAAGGCCCCCAGCTAAAACCAAAACCATGGGCAGCGTGAAAGTTTAATAGAGAGAATGCCGGACTGTGTGATCCATATGCTTACCGGCAGCTGAGAGAGGGCCAGGTGAGATTGTGATTAGTAAACCAGTCGTAGAGAAGGGGCACGGAGGACTTCCATCGCGTGTAGCGCTCCTCGATCGCGTCTTCCATCCCCAAAACCCTAAAACCCTCCTTTTTAAAGGGTTCTATAGACAACGATCGCTAGTGTCTGCTTTGTCCGAGATTGATTAGAAGACGCTCTTCCGGTGGGATGTAATCCCGCTATCGATGCTTGTCTACGGCATTCCGCCCACCAACATCACTCTCACCTCAGCTATTACTGGCATAGCTAATACTCCCCGAGGTCAAATTCGTCCACGGCCAGGGGAGTTGCATCCAAGAGCTCCAGAGTAGAAAAGGAACACAATAACCTTGATACTCCAAGTGTTTCGGTGTCCTATGGCAGTCAAGAAACGTTTGGCTAACAAAAACTTCATCACCAAATAATCAATTATTAGTTGGGAATAACACCAATTATAAAATGCTTCTTGAGGAATGTCGACAAATGCCAAAGAAAGTACAGAATTATATAAATTACTTTCACAAAATCATCAAAAATCAATTGATCTAGCACAATGTATTTTTTTTTTCCATTTTTCCATTTTCCTCCATACTCCATCATTTGCCATGATATCTCTTTACATCACTTCATCAAAGCCATCATCAACCACCAGTAATATCAACAATCATTGCAATTGGACAAACTAGTCACAAGATATAATTAAGACTTTTCTTTGTCATGATGTATAAGAACCCATGGGTTTCTTTGCAGCCAGCACCTCCCATAGCAAAGAGTAGCCATGCAACCATGAGATGTTATCTAGAAGTTGAGATTAGTCTTTTCCCAAACAATCAATGGACATATGCCCAGGGATATTTCCAGGAGGATAACAAAGAAAAGAGCAAAGAAAAGTGTTGTAAAACAAGAGAAAGAAGTGGGGCAGAGAGTGTGGGAAACCACATGGGAACATGGAAAAGAAAATAAAGAGAGGCTAAAGGGCAAGAAAAAAAGCAAGCCCATACCTAGATAATGGCCAAATAGTCCATGGAGAGTACCCAATGATATCTTGATTTGGCTCCATAAGTTTCAATGAGTGGCAGTGGATATGGAGGAATGGTATTGTGGATGTGAGAGGAAATGGTGACAAGATAGCATCTAAGAGAGTAATTGTGAATAGCCATGATAGTGGAGTGTGTATTGAAAATGATGTTGGGCATGAACTTGATTTTGCAGCTACTATTGACTGCTGTTTCTGTAGTCACTGTTTCATTCTAGGTAGAGGGTAATATATCTTTGTTCTTAGAATGCCTATTTCACACTTCCATTCCTCATGGTTCTAATAACTTGGAGATATTTCTCATCATAAAAATCTTTCATATAATCTCTTAATAAAATGTGCTCTTGCTAATGTCTTCTTTTAGTATTTGCTCTGATTCTCCTTGTTGGCCCATGGGCCTTATTGTATTTTTATAAAGTAAACAAAAAATAGGCTCTTCTTTAGTTCAAATCCAGATCTAAAATACAATTTTTTATATTATTACTAAAGCTGAATAGTTATGAGATTATCTTTGAGTAATAATAGAAAAGAAAACACTATATATTGGAAAATAAGTCTCAATATTTTTAACTTTATGATTACATTTAAACTTATTATTTATAACATATTGTTTTACTTGACCACATTTGAATAGAAGGTTTATCGTCTTCATATAAAACTAAATTACAATCTAATTGTAGAATAAGCATTGATGGGCTTACACAATTAAATTTCTTACAATAAGTTCCAGTTGCATATAATGGTTTCAAATCAAATGCTGAATATAAAACAAAATTTCCATCTTCTTGCAATCTGAATTTACAATCAAAACCTTCTCCATATGTTTTAGTATTCCATAAAACTATATTTTGGTAATATAAAACACTGTTACAATCTTGTTGTACTAAAAACACATATGCTTTATAAAGATGTACTAGAAATTCACCAGCATTAAGTGTGGCAATAAACAAACCTTTATATCCACTAAATAATCTATTTTTTAAGAAATTACAAAATTTATATGGAATTGAAAATGCATTAATATTATAATGAGGAGTTATTGTAAGAGTATATCCACGGATTTGATATAATATTAAAAAATACCAATATCATGTTGAACAATAATACTCATAAAATATGATGCTCTTGCATTTCGGATAGAAGCATAAGTTTGTCTAGCAACTCTTAACAGTACATCTCTAGTATTATCATTATTAATCTGACGAATACCATTATTGTCTAATGGACAATTTATACTAGCAGATAGAATAACAAATAATATATCTATTGTTAATGTTATACCTTCTTCAATCTCTCCAATAATGAATGTATGAAATGTAGAATGCTCTGGTGTAGTTCCACCTGAAGGTAATGAATTAGTTATGAATATAATAAAGGAAGTAATTATCATATCCATATTTATTTGCTTTGGCATTGCTCCATTATTTCCATAATTGTCATAATGAAACTCCTTCTGAGTATAAGCTACATAAAAATACGAGTAAAGAACTATAACAATATATATATATTTCATGAGGAAAAATTGTGTGAATGTTTTAGTGCTAAACTAAAGATTAAACTCTAAATATTTCTATTTATATTTTATACTTACTTTTTTATAATTTTTGTTTGATTTACTTAAATAATTAAATTGATGCTATATATTAATATTAATTTTGGTTAATAACAAAGTAGATACTTTATTTATAATTTGATTAATATTATTCATCTATTTTGAGTTAGGAAATGTTTGAAAGCTTATAAATTTATTAAATATTTATTCTAAGAATCTAATATGAGAATATTAATTTTAATATGAATTATAAAAGAATGGCATGTCTTTATGCAAATAAATGTAGTCCTTACATATCAGAGTTTAACATAATAAATTATTTTTCTGTATTGTGCTGTTTTCTTTGGTTTGCTAACCGAAATTTGTTTGTATTGTATATTGATATATTTATTATATATTTAGTATTATAAATTAATATTTGGTTTATAGAGCCAC